CTCCTCCTCCTCCTCCTCCTCCTCCCCCTCCTCCTCCTCCCCCTCCCCCTCCTCCTTTTCCTCCTCCTCCTGTTCGTCCCGTTCCTCCTCCCACTCCTCCATTTCGTTTCCTTATGAATAACTTTTCCCTGTCGCACCCCGAGATCAGTTTTTTTACGCGGGCCGGGCGTTTCGTTTGATATTGCCTCACCGCTTATGGCTCTGACTCAAGTGGCAACAGCTTCACATATGGAGGGCGGGTGGTTTTCAAACTGTGGCTTTCGCCTTAGCGCCGTTTAAACAATTGCACGGATTGAGGGCGGGTGGTTTTCAAAATGTGGCTCTCGCCTTAGCGCGGCGCACATTCGTTTCAAAAATTGCAGGAACTCCACGGATTGAGGGCGGGCGGTTTTCCAAATGTTGCTCTCGCCTTGGCGCGGCGCACATTCGGTTTAAACATTTGCAATCGCTTCACGGATTGAGAGCGGCTCATTTTCAAAATGTGGCTCTCATCTTAGCGCGGCGCACATTCGTTTAACAAAATGCAAGAGTTTCATGGATCCCCATCATCATTGTGCAAGCAACAGTGTTTTGGACATATTCATGATTATGCAGGTGCAGCACCTACGTTGGTTCTCTGAGTTGAAGTCCTAGGAATGGCGTTCTGGCACGATTCAGAATCGTCAAGACGGCAAAATCAGGTTGGTCCGTGGCGTTGGAACCCCGAGAACAATTTGTCAGCATGCTTCAGGGTCTCCAAACGGGCGTCTTCCAACGAGGCAGTTCCATCAATGGAAATGAACCGCTGTAGGGCCCTATGAAGAGGGAGCTTGGAGGGAGGGTTTACTCCAACATCGTTGATGACTCTTGGGTGTACACTTGCCCTCCTCCTCCTCCTCCTTCTCCTCCTCTTCCTCCTTCTCCTCCTTCTTGTCCTTCTCCGCCGCCTGTTCCTCCTCCTCTTCCTCCTTCTCATCCTTCTTGTCCTTCTCCGCCGCCTGTTTCTCCTCGCCCAACCTAAATACCAACAGAATCGTTCTCATCGATCTAGATCCAGTTGTTCAGATAGCACGACCAGTGGCGGCATGTGTTGCCGCGGTATCGCTCGAGGTTGAAGCGCCACCGCGCCTCTGGGAGCGCCCTGCAAGTGCCGCTCCGAGCGCCCTTGCTGATCATGCGCTGCGAGTCTCGCGGCCGGCGCGGCGGCGCAATCGGCCTCCACGCTCGCGCCGCGATCGGCGCGGCAACTGCTGCGGCCCGGCCACTCCAGCGCGCGCCGCCAGGAGTAGGGCCGCCGGGAGACGCCGCGCCCGAGGAGGAGGCAGCGCCCATGGCAGGCCCATCGCGGCGCGGCGATGGAGGCGCGGGTGGCGGGGTAGAGCGGGGGTTGTTGACAGGATCAATCCCCTTGCCGAAGGCTTTGCGCTCAATAGTGATCGCAGCAGTGCGTTGTCTCGCGCTGAGCTGCGCAATTGTCGCGCGGTCCTGACCCGTCTCGCCGATCTGGAGAGCGTTCGCACACATCTTGCAGATGTGCTCATCGAAATTGGCATGGAGGTCGCGGAAGCATCTCTGGCAACGCCGTTATCCGTCTGAATTTCGGGTGCTCCTGCCTGCGCCAGCGTCTCAATCCGCTAGCGGGTGTTTCCACCGGCGCTCAACTCGCGACCGAGATCACGGAGGGCCTGATCGGGGATGGTGCGAGCGCCATCGGTGGCCAGATCGGCGGAAAGAGATTCGCACCCCTCATCGGTCATCTCATCGGGGAGACCGCCCATCGCAATGTCTCCGCGAGATCGGCGCGCTGAGGCAATGCCAGGATGCTCGGCAATGATCTGCTTGGTCTGCTCCACGAGGGCCGTCTCCTTCGCAGCCCTCTCGTCATCCTGGAGGAGAGCAGGTCCGCGCGGAGTGCATCGATGATCTGGTCCTGGGTTTGGGCGACCGCGGAAACGGAGCTTCCCGGGTCAGGCTTGGGTCTTGGGCCCTGGAGACAAAGGGCCCCTCGGCATCGATTTTTGCAGATGGACGCGGGGGGGCATTGGCGTCAGCCGTGGAGGTAGATGCGCCAGGTGGCTGCGCGCGCGGAACTGTCGTCCGGCCGATCCTGCCGCAACGGGACTGTTGACTGAAGATATCCCTGAAGCGGCACATCGGCCGCAATCGGATCGGCCCGCAACTTTCGCAGCGCAACGAGTCCTGGGCGATTAGAGCCCCATGGGCAATTGCGAGAGAGACCTTCGACAACGCGCGCGCGCAAACGGATGGAGAGGCCGAGAGGAACGCGGGCAGGCAACATCAGTGACGCGCCTGGCAGTCTGAGAGGTCTCCGTTGTCTTCTCGGCCATTGAGATTCTGGCGGGGAAAATGAGCGACTGCTCCAATAAATCTTGCCAAATCCAGTAGTCAGCTCCGCAACGTGAAACCCGAACTCGTCTGCGTGGGCAATGGTCACGACGCGGTTGTGGTCGATCACTTGCCGGCATTGGAGGCGGGGACTTCTCTG